CTTGCCGCTATTCCATCCATTGTCACTGTTTTTCATAGTAACTACTCTTCGTCTTTAATCTAATTTTACATATGTATGTGTCCGTGTTCATTTATAGTTTTGCCCCCTTTCGTTGATTTATATTATTCATTTCGTTTTTATAGTCTATTCTACATTATATAAGGCCTTTTGTGAATATATATATATATTTTTTTATCTTTTGTACTTATTTGTCTATTTGTTTACTTATTTTTGAGGGCCGTAGGTTAGAAAACTGTAATAGGTTATTGCGCTTCCCTCTTTAAATAAAGTTATTGTATTGTATTGTATTGAGACTTTTTTCAAAAAACGTACACTTCTGGATAAAAACTGAGATTTACAAGATATTCTATCGCTTCGTTGGAATTATTTTGAGATGTAAAGAGCTATCGTAAATTTTCTTCTCTTCAAATCTATGATTGACATATCCCTATTCTGACTACATACATTTTATTTATAAAATAAATTAAATAATTTGAAGTTATAACAAGATAGCACCCCCTAACACACATTACGAACGATAAAATATTGAGATTGACGGTTGAGAATGATCAAAGAACTGGACAGTCTTCTCAGTGTATCATTGAATAACTTTCTACAACAATTGTATGACCAAATTTCGTTGCATCTGATTTTTAATATATCTTGATTAAATCATCATATACGAAAAGGCACAAATAAATTGCTCTGTTACCTCATCTTCTTCAATGAGTATGAACAGGGCCGAGCTGCCTGGTAGTCTTCTTCTAATGGTCTTACCGTCCCAAACACGGCGCGGATTGCGAACGAAGTCAAGTTCTGCCATACCCTGACTTTTCCTTGCTGCACAACAAAACCTTTAAGACAATTGTGATCGAATAAAACGGTGAATTAATTAACGATGATCTTCGCTATGAATTACGTGATTTTGCAATTGTTTGTTGTTTTTATCGCAGGAAAAACAAACCCTCTCTCTTTAAATTCCCCCAAGTCAATGAAACCTCTTACAGATCAAAAAGCAACGTCGCTATGAACGCTTGGCTGCCACAAGCCAGTTATCCCTGTAGTAACTTTTCTGACACCTCTAGCTTAAAACTCCTGAAGACTAAAGGATCGATAGGCCATGAAATTAGGACATGAAAATTAAAATTTCTCTTTCATTGAATAATTACCTTTTATCTTTTAAAATGGGTAGATCGTTTATGAGTCTCTCTCTTACAGCAATTTCATCCATCTCTTTGTTAAATTGAACACCTTTCTTGTAGCGTCCCTCCTTCTTCTTTATACGCGCCAAGTCCATGTTGTTTGGTGAAAATAACGTACCATTACTTACTATCGCGTCTTCAAGTTTGAGGACAGTAACGTTCTTCTCGAAGGCGGTAGAGTCATTCCTCTGTGAAACATTGGGCCAGTCTTGCCCAATTCTTGACGCACCAACATCTGCAAGACTCAACTAACTCTGTTAGTCCGGCAAACACATTGAATTTGGCAGGTAATAACAACGACAAAAAAGCGAGTGAAATCTGGCCACTGTAAGTCAGATTTAACACTGGTGAAACCAAAATGTTTGAAACGGTGTTATTTCATAAATAAAAAAGCTGTGTCTGTGCTATTTCTCTCGTAAAGAGTACACGGAGGAGCCGGCTAGAGTGTAGAGGACCAAAACCCGAGAGACTTATTTACCGTTTTTTTTTAGACTTTAAAAAGTACAATTACTTCAACTAAGGTGACATACATAATTGAGGCTTGTTAATTTTATCTTGATAGAGAATCTAGAATCTTCGTGGAACTTGAGTAAGAGCCAGTTAAAACATTATAGTTTATTCTCCCGATTCCTGCTCAAAAAAATGTATTCTTGCCTGGTGACTAGTCTGTTTACTGACCGTAAATTAACTGGAGAAAAAAAGGCGCCATAGAACCTTTTGTTATAATTTTCGAAAAAGGTTCATTAAAAGGGTCCTTTAGAAAACATGAAACGAATTACGAAATTTTGCAACTGTCGGCGGATGCTCGATATTTACATAGTTAATTTACGGTTAGTAAACAGACTGGTCACCAGGCAAGAATAAATTTTCTTTGAGCGGGCATCGGGAGAATAAATTATAATGTTTAACTGGCTCTTACTCAGGTTCCACTCGGTTCGTCGGAAAAATAGGAAATTGAGACATCGTCAATTTCCGCTCTCTTTCGCCAATTCCTGTTTCGCTTTGTTGGGGTGTTCTAAATTCCATTTTGTTCACTCGATTTCTGTTCTAACTTCCTAAACTCTATTCTGTTAGTCCAATTTCGGCTGTATTTTTATAACAAAAGAATTTGATAAAAAGCAATGGCATACAGGTTCTTCATAACAGAATTTGAAACAGGATATTGGCGGAGATGACCCCTCGTAGAAATCAAGTAATCACCTAAACTAGACTACATTCAGTTCAATAACCATAGTTGAGCTTTGTTTCATTAAGGTGAAGCAAAACCACCACTACAGTTTACGGCGTTAGTCAGAAATAAAAGCTTAATCTGTGTTTCCTGTTGTTACCCACGATTAATATCGATTTTAAGATTACGTCTAACGCGACTATCGTTTCCAAGGTTTGTGAATGTTTTGTTTATGTTAAGTGGAAATATAGCATGCGGCCGTACATAGCGACCACACCACTTAAACAATTCAAATTTTCCTTTTACCTGAGTAATCCATAACTCTGGCAGTTACAAAGCAACCATAAGAAGCGAAAGAGAAACTTCACCACCTATCCTTAAAGATCATATAAAATTACTGTCTTTTATAACAGACGCAAGGCGGTTTGACACTGCCTACGTCATTGAATAATCACATGATCATTGAACGGTAGATATGATTGACAGCGAACGGACATCACCAAGCCACTTAAACCGTTCAAAATATATCGAGACTTGTTATGGAAACAGGTTCTCAGCGACGCTTTTTCTTTGTTTGTTTGGAAAATAAAACCAAAATAGCATTGAATAGTCATGTGACCATATTTTCGTCTCAGTCTAATTGACAAGTATTGACAAGTATTGACAAGTCCTTGTTGGCCTCGTGTTGCGTTGCATTCAGTTTAAATAAAGCGAAGAATAATTATCGCGTAGGAAAGTAGCTCGGTGATTAATTACTTATAAGAATTTTGAGAAATAAAAGAAACTTTCGATGTGTGAACATATACATAATAACAATTTATCATTTAAAGCTTTGCATACATTTCAAAGTGTCCGGAGGAAGTATTGAATACAGGACTGAAATCTGTTGTGTTTCGAAATTGCTTCAAATAACTTTGGAAGCGATGAAGACTTGTAAATTCTTCTTCAGTGTCATAACAAAATTCGGAGTTAAAAGCTCCATTTTAAGGCTTACCGTTGCTTTCACGTAAGCACAAGTGTAAGCTAATAGCTACGATTAACCATATGACATTAGGAAAAGCGAAAAACACTCAAGAGGATAAACTCAAAAAATATGTTGACCCGGAAGGCATTGTAATTAGGATTTCTGACACACTCGTCGGAGCGTTGAAACATTCAGTTGTTGAAGAAAAAAAGCCATAAACGTATTTGTAAGTTATATCATCACTCTGAAGTCCGTTAAATTCCAGAATTTATTTTTAGTACTTAGATGAATAAGTCACAATAAAGTGCGTGGAGCGCTAGGAAAGACAACGTTTTCTTTGAGATCTCCGCCGGTTCACCGCATCATTTGCGAAGTTTTCGTAAAAATCCGCCTTGCCCTCATTCTTTTTCCTATATATAGCATTTCGTCGCTAGAAATAATGTTACAAGCGAAGTAATATAACGAAAAAGGTCGAAGCTCATCGTTCTTTCGGTGTTTATGGTCAAGTTTAGCCGGTTTGCGGTTGCTCTTACTCACTCGTGTAGGTTTCCGCGGTTGTTCCATGATTCGGTTGTAAAGGCCTACAAATTCAACGGCCTACTCCTTTAGCTAGAAAAATGAATAAAACACAAAACCTCCGGCTGCAAGGTCGGAGACTCAGGATCGAATTAAACAAAAGTTGTCCAAGTTTTAAATGATTTAGCCTTGAAATTGCACGACGAGGGAGGCGCTTCCCAATCTCCTCATAAAAACATCGCGTTGTCGTTTTAAATAAACTTCTTTTCTTACCTGAGAAAATCTCTGAGTCCTCTAATAACGGAACATGAAGCCAATGAAGCCCAATGAACTCAATCCAGTCAAAGGCACAACCACTGAACCTAAACCATGTACACTAAAATGATCTGACGCTAACCAATATCTTATATTTCAATGCTGAATGGTCACGCTATCATACTGAGTTGAATAAATATTAAGACTCATAAATTAACCGCACTGGAAGAGAAATTGAACAAATGAATAAATTACAGGCATTTTTCAATGTTTTAAGACCAGGATTTAGCATTGTATCAAATAAGAAATTATCGTTAGATACATACGCTAAAAGAAGAGATTCTGTTCGCAAATATGTCTCTATTTTTCATGAACAGGGTTGGATTAAAACCAAAGCTATTTTTAGTTGTTTACAGCTTCCTGAAGGATCTTTTAGATGGTTGAATAGTCAGGTGACCATACACTTTCGTCTCCAGGTGTCCTCGCAATAACGAGCTTGGTAACCAGATCTCCATCGGCAAGAAAAGGGAGGTGACATGTAAGACCATTTCCCAGATTTTTACAAATTTCAAACTTCAGAAGGCTTACAACATATTTGCCTTCGTGAACAATATTATAGAAGCGTGAACTTGAAAACTAGTGAAATGATATTTGTATGAAAAAAATAGCTTCAGAAATAGTGAATTCACCAAAATTAGCCGTATAACTCTGAAGAGAAAATAAATCACCGATATCTTCAAATTATTTATATTGTACTTTGATTTATACTTTCCTTTTTCTCTCCCTTGCGTAAGCGTGCGTGAGTGATTCCACGCGCGCGAATGAAGAATCGTGGGAGGGTTGCACTTTTTTTTACGCACGAGTAAGTCTTCAAACACGCCTCTATATCTGACTAAATGGTTCTGCCCTTGCCACACCGTCTACTCATCCTTAGTCTAGACCTCTTTTGGCGTAATTCTATGCTTATGGTGAATCGTGGTGATTGTGTGAGCTACATCACACACTCAGAAGTTGTCCATCTTGAAGAACTGAAATTTTTTTAAATGTTTTCATTTATTCTACGAGTTTACCATGTGTATTTTGTGATCTACTCCATACATAACCATCCTCATTCTTTTTCCTTTTTATTCTCAATTCTCTGTTGCTCGCGCTAGAATTGGTCCGCCAATGGCTTAACCGTCAGATTACAAACTGTTACAAAGACTGATTTTTCGTCCACAGGTTTTTCCAAAAAATTCACGTTATGGAAACTTATTAATGATTTTACTGTCAGTTCGCTTTTTATTCCGCTGGTCTAGTGGTTCTTTTATAGACCTAGCCATCCTTAAGAGTCATGTTTTTATCCTTACAGTCTTCTTGCACATTTAAGACTAAAACTTCAAAATGCGCGATAAAAATATGCAGTGACAATTGCATAAGCAACAATGTGTTTCTCCAGAGTATGACAACCACTTGATTAGGACAGGACTTATCATGAAAACTGACATACCAAAGATATTTCATCTTGTAATTGAGTTTTTTTGTGAAATTGATAAAACTCCGGACTCTTTTCTAGACTATTTTTCTCTTTTTCCACACTCCTCGTTTGAAGAGACTTGTCCACTGATTTCTAATATTTTTACTTGGAACACTGCTCTCTGGAACTTCCTTCCTCTGGATAGAATAATACAGTCTCCGAGACTTTTCAACCACCACTTTGGGCGAACAGGGCCTATGGATCGTCTTAAGGCGTTAGGAAGGCTTCTCGCGTGTTCTTGGAGAATAAGAGACAGGCTGGTCTGTATTTTCATAGTTCCTTCCCCTTGTTTTGTTCTTAAATTATAGCTCCAAGTTTTTGTCCTTTATTTTGAACTGCAAAAGATAAAATAATTTGCATTACTTACTGATGTAATGGCAATTCCTAATTATAAAAAATGAATAAATGACGACCAGTCCCTAAAGTCCTCCCTCCAAACCCTGTCTCTGCTGTCAAAAGCAAATATCGTGACCCTCACCGGTATAACTGGTCCGATAAAGGGGATATCCACATAAGGCGAACCACGTGCCAAGGCCCATAGACCGAACCTTCTTAATTTTTCCTGGCGAGGGTGCCCTCGATTCTGCTCCGTGGAACTAAAGTGTAAACATTAGAAAGTATATTAACATGAAAAAGTATACAACGAGATTATTCA